CGCCGGGGATGATGCTGACAGCGGCGACGGCGGCGAGGCGGCAGCGGCCTACAGCCGCAGGATCGCCGTCCACCTGGCAGTCTCTCTGATCCGCATCAGCAGCGCAGTCAGCCTGGGCGCCGCTGGGGCTGTCGGGCCGACGCGGCGCTCCCACATTGCTATGATCCGGGCCCTCGTCGCCGCTACGCGCCAGCTGTCCTTGGGCGCCGACTGCAACAGCTGGTTCGCCGCCACGTGCGCGGCCCAGGTGCTCTTGAGCCCAACGCTGCTGCCGGCCCTCGTGGCGCACGCCGCCGCTCACAGCGCCGAAGCGTCGAGCCCCTCGCCGCTGCGGCCTTGGTGCGAGCTCACGCGCGACGCGCCCAGCATCCTGCGCCGCTGCAGCGCCGTGCTTGCCGACCACGCGCGGCGGCGGCGGCGGCGCTGGGAGCTGCGTGGCGACGGCGGCGGCGGCGGTGTGGGTGGCGATGCTGACGGGGCAGGGACAGCATGCCAGCCCCTGAGCAAGGAGGAGCAGGCTGAGGCGGAAACGGCGACCGCGGCGCACTCGTTATGCCGCTGCGTGCTTGCCGTGCTTGCCCGGGTCCTGATTGTGCAGCTCCCCGGCTCGGGGCGCCACGCTGTCTGGCCGCTGGCATTCGGGGACGGCGGCGAGGGTGAGGAGGACAGCGGCGGCGGCGGCAGCGGCGGCGGGGCCGTGGCGGCGGCGCGGCCGCCTGGGCCTTGGGACTGGGACGACCTGTGGGCGGCAGTGGCTGCGGTGGGCGGCTGCGGCGAGCTGAAATCGCTCGCGCTGCTGGCGCTGGCGGTGGTTGAGGCGCGGCGCTGCATCGCCCGCGCCGACACGGACGCCGGCGACGCTGCGCGCGCGCGGCTGCTGCTTGACCAGCTGTGGGGGATTATGCAGGAGGAAGCTGCTCGGGTGGCAGCTGCGCAGTACCCGGACTTGCGGACGGCGAGTGAGAAAGCCACAGAGCGGGGGGCGCGGCTGGCGGCGGCGCGCGACGTGGTCCGCAGCACTAGCAAGGCGCGCAAGGCTGCGGTGCGGCGGGAGATTGCGGAGATGTCCCAAGCACTGCCGTCGCAGTCACGGCAGATGCTGCATCGGCGGGAGCAGCAGCAGCATCAGCAGCAGCAGCTGGAGCAGCTGGAGCAGCGGCTCACCAAGGTGCTGCTGCAGCAACGGCAGCAGCATGTGGATGTGTGGAACGCCCTGATCCAGGAAGTGGATCGTGCTAAGGAGGAAGAGGACGAGGACGAGGAGGAGGAAGAGGAGGAGGAGCAGCAGCAGCAGGAGGAGGAGGCGGAGGAGGAGGGTGGAGTGGATGCGGTTTGCGGTCGTGGCAACGAGCAGGGAGAGTGCGACCGATGGGCGCGGCTGTTCGCCGCCAGCCCCGCCCTCATTGCCGCGCTACGACCCAGGATTGTGTTCACTTGCAGCGCCTGCTTCGGCGAAGGCCCGCCTTCGGGGCCCGGCGGCGCCTGGGTGGACCCAGCCATGAACGCCCGCCTGACTGCGATGGCGCGCACCCCTGGGGTCGCATCGCCAGGCGGAGGGCTCGCCTGCTGGCTCGCGGCGGCGGCGGACGCGATCGAGGCGGTCCATGCGGACTGTGAGGCGGTGGGTGTGGGCGAGTGTCGTGTGTGTTATGATCCGCTGGTCCCTTCAGGGTGGCTGCCAGCCGCACCCGCGGCAGGGGCGCAGCGGGGCCAGGGCAAGGCGCTGAGGCAGAGGCCAGCCTGCCCGCGGGCCGGCAGCGGCGGCGCTGCACGTTCTGCGGCGCGACGGCGGCAGACGGCGCGCAGCTGCGGCGCTGCGCGGGGTGTGGCCCCGTGACGGGCGTGCGCTACTGCAGCCAGGCCTGCTGCCGGAATCACTGGGTGCGGGCAGGGCACAGGCAGCGGTGCGAGCAGGCGCAGCGGCAGCTGCGGGCGCAGCAGGGGCTTCAGGAAACCGCTGTGGATGGTTTGACGTGAGCAGCTCTGTCATAGACCAATCGGAAGAGTTTTTGGTGCTTTTGTGCTACCGCAAAACCGTTGCAATACTGTACATGGTACGTACACCTGTTTGGGTATCACTCTTTTTTGAAGTGCTGGAGCCTAACCCCATGTTGCTGCCGTGGGTCGTGTTGCCGCACTCCATTGCCCACCCACGCTCGTGCAGAGCAACCATGTTTGATGCTCCAGGCCAGGGTGAGGAGGGTCATGCTGCGAAGCACCCCGGTTCCGAGCAAGTAGGCAGCCGCTGGGGTATCACTCCGCTGCTAAGAGGCCCCTCTGCCGCAGCGCTGGGCCTCCGGCCATTGTCACCGCACGTGTGCCTGGGGTCAGAAACAGCTGCTCTCGTCGCAACTTGATGGCAGTCTGCTGCTTGCACACCAGACCCATTGCTTGCCTGGGGTTGGCAAGGCATGTGGCTGGACTGGGAAAATACGAGAGAGCGGCAGTGCGTGCAGGGCCGTGCATTGTGCAAAAATACGAAGCATGCGAGCCCCAAAAGACACACCGATTGCAGCCGCATGCGTCGACGCGGCAGTCGAGCCACGCAAAGCCGTAGCATAAACAATGCAGCAGAATCATGCGAGGCCGGCGCAGCAGAAACGAAGGCCCGGCTAGGCCCGGATCACCAAGGTGATGGTATTCAGCTAAATCAGGTCGTCAGATGGGTGCCTGGCGGCAGGCATGGCGGTAGGTTGACTCATTTCACTCAAGTGAGCAAGTGCAGTGTGACAGTCCCCTCGATGGGCCAAGGGGGTTCTAGCACGGTTCAGCAAGGTATATGATGGTTGTTTGGCATACTTGTCATCCAAAGCGCCTGCCTTGCACCCTCGCGGTGTGGCTCAATTCGATTTCCGCGCGCACAAATTCAAACGCGGTGCCCCGATCCAAGCCAGTCGAGGTGTGCGTCTGTATCTTGACATTGATTGCGCATCAGTAAATCGTCTTGTTGCTGCTGTAAAACCTTCAGGCACCGCGAACCACAGCAGCACTCTGTCGGGGCCCACATCAGCAGACGCCCCTGGTGGCACGTCACCCGCGCACGCACCACCATGGAAGATCAGGTGGGATGCTGGACGCGCTGGTGTTGTGATCATGTCAGCAGCCGCAGGCACTGACCCGCTGCCCTCCGCGCAGGCCCTGGCAGAGTTTGCTAGCCCCTTCAAGCGCCGCAGGGCCGCCCTCCTCAATAAGGGTGCGTTGATATACATCTTTAAGCGAGGGCACCTGGATCGGGGGCATGCTGGTGGGCGCTGTGCTGCACGGCTGCATTCGCAGCGCAGCATGCTGCCCATGGGCACCCAGGTCAATACAGCAGGTTCACGTTGCATCTCATTGCTGCCGGCGCTACCCCACGAACGCCCCGCACTCCCGCAGCCGGCGCTGCCGACGGCTTCCAGAGCCCGCCCCCTGCCGCCCGCAAGCTGGGGCGCTTCTTCACGCCTCAGGGCAAGGCCGCCCCCGCCCCCGCGTGCCCCGCGGCGCCGGCGACGCCCGGCGCAGACCTCCGCGCGCGCGCCGCCACCGAGAGCCGCGGGCGCGACACGTTCTGCCCGGACGGGCCCGCGGGCGAGGAGGGGCTGCTGTCGCCGGAGCCAGACCCGCTGCCCCCGCAGCTGGCGCTGCTGCGGGACCTGCTGGGTGAGCCACGCGGCTTTCTTTGTTGTCTTTGGGGTCCACATGGTTGCTGTCGTGTTGGAGGAGGTGCTGGCGGCGGTGGTGGGGATGGGAGAAGCGTTGAATGAGCGTGCCGGCTCGGGCACGCCGGCGTCCGTCACAGCAGCAGCGCCTGCGCCTCCACTCGGTGTGCCACACCAGCCCCCGAGCGCCCGATCCGCAGCCCAAACACGCGCCCCTCTGCCCGGGCAACCCGCGGCCCCGCAACCTGCTGCGAGCCCTCCTGCCCAAACCTTTCCTCACGCCCGCGCCACCCTCCCGCCCCCACCCCGCAGGCGCGCTGTACGCGACCCTCCCGCTCGTCAAGGCGCGCGGCCAGCTGACCACCCTGCCCAACCTGCGCGGCCCGGTCCAGAACCTCAGCGGCCGTGCCCTCAGGCCGGCGCACCTGCAGCAGATCAAGGCGCTCTACCCTGACGCGTTCAACTGGCAGCACGTGATGGTCGCGGCGGGGCGGTCGGGGCGGCAAGAAGAGCAACTGCTGCTGGGGCTGATCTCGATGGAGCGCCTGCAGCAGCAGCAGCATAAGCAGCAGCAGGAGCAGGAGGAGGAGGCCGAGCGGCGGGGGCAGCAGCAAGGGCGCGGCGGCTCGACGCCGTCGCGCCGCGCGGCGGCGGTCACGCCGAAGAAGCAAGGCGCAGGCGGTGGCATGGCGACGCCGGGCAGGCGCGAGGCTGTCGGTTGCTCCGCGAGCGTGCACGGCACGATGCAGCAGCAGCGGGAGTTCCTGCGGCTGTTGCGCGCCCGCGTGGCATCCGGCAAGGTGGGCGGCGCACATGCGGACAGCCGCGTTTGGGGGTTGCACGCATCCTGGGTCAGCCGGTCTGCAGGGTCGCCAGTAGAAAAATACCTGCTGAATCTGCAGCAGGAGTCAGGTTGCAGATGGGAGGCCTGGACCGGTCAGCCAGCTCAGCGATGTTGGTCTCAGGCAGCAGTTTGCTGTGTGCGTAAGCAGCCCCACCCGCAACGCCTCCCACGCTGTGACACGCCGCCGCCGCAGGTGGAGGCGGCGGAGGACCTGCCCCTGGCGCCGCTGCCGGGCCCCGCGCCGCCCAGCGCGCGCGACGGCACGCCCAGCCGCCGCCAGGGCAGCGGCGCGCTCGCCGCCGCAGACGCGCTGCCGCGCACGCCGCAGACGGGCGCGAGCGGGCGCGCGGCGATGAGCCCCCTCGGCGCGGCGACGCCCGGCACTGATGGTGGGTCGCAGCGGGTGCGGCGGCCCCTTGATTCTCAAATCGCCATTCCTGATTACTTCGCCCGCACCCCCTTTGCATGCGCACTTGAGGACGGCGGCGCACATGCATGCACGCCCACCTGGTGCCGCTGTTGGCTGACCACAGAGCTTGGGCCCCGCTTCTCAACCTCCCCTCACCCCTTCCTGCTCCTCCCATCCAGGCACAGTGAGGTCTCTCGCTTTCAGCCCTCTGCCCGCCAGCAAGCTGCCCGTGCCCCGCTTCGCCGCCGCCGCCGCCGCCGCTGCGTCGCCCGCCCGCGCGCCCGGCGCGGCGACGCCGGGCACCCCCGGCACCAAGCGCACCGCCGCTGGCCTGGAG